TGAATTGGTGAGTTTAGTTGTTTTCAAATAAGTTGAAGAAAGCTGGGGCCAGAGGAAGTTACAGCACCTGCATTTCCCCCCCGGGTAGAGTGCCCTACTACTGGCTGAAAAGTTGGCAGTTTGAACCTACCCAGAGGTAAGTCAGAGGGCAAGCCTGGCTGTTTAGAGAGACTCAGTACAGTAGCGGGTCATTGAACAAGAGGAAGCCGCTCAAAGAGATGAATTGACACCGGTGGCTGGAACAGAGGTTTAAATGTATCAGCAATTGTGAGGATGTTGCAGGCTGAAACAGTGTTTCTTTCTGTGGAACATAGGGTCACAATTAGTCAGAAGCACCTGGATGCACCTAACAACCTAACGACAGTTCCTAGTAGGTACTCAAGAACAGATGGTCCTTGCTGTGATTATGACTGTGATGAACAGTCAGTTGGGCAAGGATTGGAGTCTCCCATTCAAGGCAGGAACTAATCCATGTTGGAGGCATAGAATTCTCTCTCAGTTCAGTGTTATGAATGGAGTATCCCATAAGGGTGGCTCTACTCGATCCTGGCTCAGTACAAAGCAGAGGAGGTGCCTCTCCCTGGCTGGAAGGGACCTAGTTTCTTAGATTTATGTGATGCCCCAGTTCCTTGTGTAGAGGGCATGGCAGCCTCTGCAACCCTGGAGTTCCCTTGGCTCTGGCAGTAGGGTTAGAGCTGAAAGGGAATGGAAGTTGGAGTGAGGAGACCTTTCAAGGTCACGCTCAGGCCTTTAGCTGTGTGACCTTACATAGTCACGGCTCTCTGCCCCTCAACCTCCTCATCTGTAAACTTACATGTTGATGTGAGGTCTTCACGATTACTATTTCAAATGAAAACAAAACAAACAAAGCACAACAACAAGAAAACATCGACACTGAGTCGACTGCAGTAGAACGGCTCCCTAGGTTTCCAAAGCCGTAAATCTTCATGGAAGCACATTGCCCTATGTTTCTCCTGAGAAATAGCTGTGGGTTCTAACTGCTGCCCTTTCTGTGGACAGCTGAGAGCCTTGAAAGGCAAACTCATTATTTGTTTTGATCTTTTTTCCAGAACGTGGGTGCTTCCTTGAGAAATGTGAACCTAATCTGTTTCCCTAAGTACAATCCCATCCGAGTCCTGTTGGATGGTGCTGTCTGCAGCTTTCCAAGATTTGCTCTGGCTCCTCCTCCATTTTGTTGTGAGAAGAATAGAAGAGTCAGACTGACAGACAGCATGGCCAGACCTTGATTACTCGGTTTCAGGACGGGTTCCCGCTTGTCCAGGATGTATTGCTGGGATCTACTTAGCGGAGATACCTCTCCCTCAAAATAGTTTGAATCAGATGATGGAAATTCCATAGTTCTCAGCAACAGAATAGATTACAGTGAAAACTTTTTTCTTCTTCTATTTCCGTCTTCTCAAATCTGCCCTCTAATTTCATCCGTTTAGTTTGGTGAGTGGTTATAACCAGCTGCAGTGACATGGAGGGACGTGGTCTTTGGAACTCCATTTGAAAGACTCCTTCCGAAGGATACGATGAAGCTGCGTGATTAAAATGTAACAGTCCTCCATATTGTGGAGGCAATCACCCACTGGGGGGTGGGAATTATTGAGCACCTACTGTATGCCAGCCCCCGGGCGTACCATGGGCTGGAGGGCAGTCATGCAGGTAGACATTAAGTGAATGAACTCCCAAAGCAGATGCGCAAACATAATGTGATCGAGTGCTAAGAAGAACGTGTACTTAGAGGATGACTCAAGGCGGGGGTCAGGCAAAGCATCCTTGAAGCTGGGACCTGGAGGATGAGAAGCAGTGAACAGGCACTAAGGCACTTCAGGTAGGAATGAACTAGAAGAGGCCACTGGAGCTAAAGCTCAGTGGGGGAGTGAAGCAGTGAGGGTGAGCACGGAGGCCTGGTCTTTCTGGCCTTGCTAAAGAGTTTGGGTATTTTCCTAAGGGGTCTGCTCCCTAACATGTTAGATTCGGCCCCAATACATTAGTTTGAGGCATTTTTCACGTGGATTCAGGCTGCTTTCCCTGGAGATAGTCTGCCCATGCAGAAGCAGCTCAAATTTGGGCCAACATCAAATGAAGTCATATTGACGGCCTGTGTTAGACAGGGGTGACTGGAGAAACAAATCCAGAGACACTCATTCATGTGTGTAAGAGAGAGCTTCATATCCAAGAGTAATTGTGTATCGAGAAAACATCCCAGCCCAGTCCAGATCAGTACATAAATGTGACACTAGTCCATAAATCTCTCTTCAGACTCACACAGCCACATGCAATGATGCAGAATGTAGGGAAATCACAGGTCGGTGGGTGAAGTCTTGTGGATCTAAAAGCAGTGGACGCATCACAGGCTGGCGCAGATCTCCACTGCATGGCTCCCTCTGGTCTCACCTGCATGGCTTCCTCAGGTCTCCGCAAATCTCCAAATGGCTTGTCAGCGGATAGATGAAGGCAGAGAGAGAGAGGAAGTTCCCAGAATCCTCTTGAGAAGGACACGCCCACAAGAAGGCATCATAGGGCTGTGATCTGATTGACAGGCTAGACTCCACCCCTTCACTCTTAATACTCTCAAGTTGACATGAGATTATGTAACTACCACACAGCCCCTTTGCAAGTCCCTGGGCTGTTCAAAATGATCAGCATTCTCGGCTGCTACTGACTGGAAATGCTGAAGGTTCATGCCCACCCATAGGTGCCTTGGAAGAAAAGTCTGGTGATCTACTTTTGAAAAATCCACCCCTGAAAACCCTATGAGCACAGTTCTATGGGGCCACCGTGAGTTGGGGCCCACTTGACGGCAGCTGGGTTTCTTCTTACGGTCCTTTTTCAAATGAGGGGTCTGCATCCTCCTTTAGAAAACACGAAGTAGAAACGAAGTCATACCAGGTCATTTTCAGAAAACGAGAGGCTTTTGTTCGTACACCGTGGAGGAGATGACTCAGAAGCTAGCTCGCGATTGTTGACGAAGATGGGAGCAGCCTCTTGGTGCCTGTATGAAGTGTCTTTTCCCAGAGGCTGGTGAGAACTGAATCGGGAGCAGGGCTTTCGCTTTCTGAGACCTCTGGTAAACAGAGGGTGGGAAAGCCAGAAAGGAAGCTTAGGGGGTCAAGATATGCACACTGGTTTCCACATCCTGCCACATTCCAGCAGAATTTTCCCTGATAAAGTCATCGCGTGCCCGAGCCGGATGGGCCCTCCAGGATGCACTCACTCAGCCCTCATTTCATGGGGCCAGGGTGCCGATGGCGCAGATGGGCCCCAGTGACCCAGCTACCCCAGAAGGGTCAAGTGTTTCCCATTTGATACGGGCTTATTAGTCACTATGATGGCTAAAAAAACCCCTGAATCTCACTACAAGGCTAAGACCGGAGAATTAGGTCCTGGTTTGTTTGCTCTGAAGGGTCTCTTGCCTGTGCTTCAGCCTTCCAGAGACCCCGAGATGTTCACCAGCCCCTCCTCTGTGGGATCTCAGGAGTCAAGGATCTCCTCCAAGGGGATGCCGGGATCCTCTACAGCTGGGAGTCTGGGTGTGTTAGCACTCCACTGGTGCTAGGGCGGCTCTGGGATTCCCATCAAGAATGGTTTTTAATGTTGGAAGGGGAAAAAAAACCCAACAAGGCCTCGTCTGACCTTCAAATGATGAAAGCAATATTTTTATTGGTTTTGGAAGTAGCTCATAGCAACAAGCTACTCTGAACTTAGTCTTGCTTCAGATGAATTTGTACTTCATCCATTGCAACAGCCTCTTGTATTCACTTGAAAAAACAGTGGGGCATCTGTGTGTGAGACATGATCTTTATTCAGCCCACACGCAATTCTCTGTAAGCAGATGGGATGGAAGACCCAGTGCTATAATTGTCTGGCTTCTCCCTAGTGTCTGGAACCCGAGCGTCTGAGGCATGGATGCATAGAACACCAGACACCCCGTGGGGATGAACCCACCCAGTCAATGTCTAGGCTGGCAGGAAGTGAAATGGAGTGAACGCATGCGAGGTCCTGTGTGGCAAGGGAGTAGAACGGGAATCCTACAGGCTTCTGCTGCTCCCTGTTTGGGAAGCACACTCAGGCTGCTTCACTTGGGCAAGAGGGACGGCGAAGCCGTGGCCAAACATCCTCGGAGGGAAATGCATTTCCAACTTGCCAAAGAGACATTGGGCTCACGAAGGTTCACGCCATTGCCTCTGTGTGTACGACTTTACATCGCTTTTATTGCCTTTTCTAATCACGAAAGTCATTTGCTCTCCCTGTAAAAGAAAAACTCAAAATGCAAAGCGGCAACAAACACGACCGAAACGTATAACTGGGAACAATTTGGTGTGTCGTGTTCCAAGCGTTTCTGGGCCCCTATCAGCGATATTAGCAATTAAAATGTTTACAGACGTGGAATCTTATTACACAGGTCATTCTCCAGATGACTAAACAACCCTCCGAGCTCATAAACAACCCTCCGAGCTCACTGCCAAGAGCGATTCCCACCCACAGGGCACAGGGCAGAGCTGCCTCCCAAGGGGTTCCGAGACTGTCATTCTTTAGGGGAGCAGTTGTCTCCCAACGCATCACCACTGTGACACCAGGGCTAAGTGGGTGGAGTTTATGGAGAATGTAATTGTTAACTAATTTTAAGGTGATAACAAGGCTCACTGGAAGAGAATACTGACTGGGTCTGACACGGGTTTGATCATCTAATACGTTTGCTAGTTGCATGATCTTGGGTCAACTCAAAGGTCCCTCCAAGCTTGTTTCCAGGTGTCTGAGACAGGGACAGCGTCTTCCTTTCTGAAAAGTTGTTGTGCGAATCCAGTGACTGCATAGATAGGAAAGGGCTTCTTTGCAAGTTATAAAGTAGTCTACAAATACCCAGGGCCGCTCAGCCTCTTTCCTTGTGAAATGCTCTGTCCTTATCAGTGGACACTTGACCTCCAGGTAACTTAGTTGTTGGCTTTCTTGGAGACAAATGGTAACAGGTGTGTCCTCCCCTTTTTACCCAGGTCACTCCCGGAAGCAAAGCCGCCCTCGCTGACTTGTGCATCGGAGATGTCATCACAGCCATTGATGGGGAAAATACTGGCACTATGACCCACTTGGAAGCTCAGAACAAAATTAAGGGTTGTGTAGACAACATGACTCTCACCATAGCCAGGTAAGGTCAGCGAAAAAGTTCATTGATTTCCGATCACCCAGCTGTTGTGCTACCCCTTACATCCCTAACTGAACACCACGTACACTGCAGGTGTGCAGAAAGGCCTGCGGAATTCGGATTTCAGGTGTGGCAGCCTGCCCCTCTAACCTGTAGTCCGAGCTTCTTTCTCTCAGCAACCTGTGTTTTATTGGACCAGACAGCAGTTCTCATTGCCATGGAGCCGACTTTGACTCTTGGGGACCCCGTGTGTGTCGGAGTGGAACTGTGCTCCACAAGGCAGGTGGCCGGTGGGTTTTTCAGAAGATCACCAGGCCTTTCTTCAGACTTGTAGACTTGAACCTCCAACCTCCTGGTTAGCAGCTAAGCGCGTTAACCCAGGGACTCCATTATCCAAAACCTGGAACTAAACATTTGGATTCTGGTAAAAGCAGTTAAGCCTATTGTTAGGCATAATGGAATCAAAGTTTCTTCCGGGAACTACTGAGAATCCACTTACAATGCTGCTGTCACCGTGCACTGAGTGGTGGGGACTGCACCGGGAGGTTAGAATGACAGAGCAAGACTTCCATACGTTCCACAAGTGCTGAGTGTCCCGGAAGTATTCTAAAGAAAGGAGCATGATGTCCTTCTCCAGCGTCCCTCTTGATAACATGTGCCAAGTACATGAGATGAAGCCTCGCCATCTTTGCCTCCAGCCGAGACGGATTAACCCACTGGCTGCAACAACGGACATGGGAACAATCACGGGATGGCGCGGGAACAGGCGGTGTTCCGTTCTGTTGTGCATAGGGTCACGATGAGGCAGGAACTGATTGGACGGCACCCAACAACAAAGAAAAGAGAACTAGGGTCAAATAGAGCAAACAGGTTGACTAGTGAGGAGCATGACTTGGGAGTCGTCATTGGGGTAGGATTACCATAATCCTTTCATTTAGTCTTGGATGGGGTCCTGCCAGGGCAGGATTTCAGGAGTGATTTGGTTCAACCTTTAAGGGCCCCTTGTTTTCTATTGGATCGAGTTCAGGGTCTTTATTCTAATCTTATGTTACCCTGCCCTGTAACATCTCACCAACCTGAGCACCTGTAGCTCTTTTTCATGAATCCTTTGCTCAGGTTCTCAGCTGTGAACTGAATATACTGCCGTCTTCTGACTCTGCCATAAGGAGCGTTGGTGGTACAAACACTTAAGAGCTCAGCTTCTATCCCAAAGGTTGGAGGTTCAAACCCACCTAGCGACTCCACAGGAGCAGGACCTAGGAATCTGCTCCCCTGAAGATGTTGTTAGGTACTGTTGGGTAAAGGTTATACTATACAAAAACCTGTGGGCAGTTCTACTCTGTCACGTAGGGTCACTGTGAAGTAGACTGATGGCACCTAACAGTAACCTATGACAGAGTTACCACGAGGGCCAAATATAAAGTTATATGTCCGAGTGTATTGGACACTTCAGAACCCAACCCATGGGACAAATTACAGAGTAGTATGTAAAAATGTAAGTTACATAGGAATATGTAAAAACAAAGCTACCCATTGGCATTGAGTTGATGCCAGCTCATAGTGACCCTGTATAAAGTTTCTGAGACTGTAAACCTTTTTTAGTGTGTGTATAGCCGCTGTCTGCAGATTGCCAATGCTGTATTTTGCCTTTTTATCGGGAGCTCCCACAGAGAGCAAGTTCAGCCCATTGAGCAGTGTTATACAAATGCTGACATGATCAGTTTCAAAACATTTTCTTTCTTCTTGAACTCCTTCATATCAGCTCCTCTTTGTCCCCTCCCCGCCCGCCATACCTCCCAGGGACTCTTATTTTATTTATTTTTGCCACATTTTATGCAATTCTATCTATCCATTCACATACAACTTTACTGTTCAATCCCATCGAGTGGGGTTTTGAGACTGTAAATCTTCATGGGGGCAGACAGTCTCCTCTTTCTCCCGAGGAGCACCTGGCGGTTTTGAGCCAACAACCTTGTGGTTAGCAGCCCACTGTCTAATCCTCAGCACCAGCATTGCTCCTTATAGCACATGTATGTGTGTGTGTATATATATATAAATATAAGCATCAGCAAGTTTGTGGGAAAATGGAATATAATGTTTATATATATGAGGGTAGGTAAGAAAGTATTGCTACTCAAGTTTCAGTTGATACATGTGTGGGTTTATTCCAAACAAAACATTTTAAACATCTCTTCAATGAATGGATAGCTGTAGACATGTTCTCTCAGTTATATATTTGTCTTCGTTTCATTAGGGTGTTTTCAAAACACAAAAACCCAAAGTCCCATCAAAACAGTGCCTTCAAAAGGTGTCTGCTGGGCCAGTTAAATTCAAGGTTGAGAGATCAGCTCAGAAGACGACAACAAATTATCTTGAGATTCCCAAGGGATAATCCTGATAGATTTTCCTCAAAGGACACCGGATGACCATAGGGACTGATTATGAGGCAGTTTTAAGAAAATTGAAAAAGGCCAGGAAAGTTACCTGCAGGAATTGTTTCCATCATGACAATACACGTGCTCATTTTTCAAGTGTAGCAAGGACTATCATATGAGAATTTCATTGGGAAACCTTATCCCATCCACCCAATAGCTCATATATTGCCCCAAGGGACACAATTGAAGGCCTTTAAGGGTGCCCCACTTGTTTTGGTGTGGTGTTAATTAAAGAATGCAGAATTCTTTGGGGGAGGGGGAAAGGATGCTAGAGAGAGGGAAACACGGCCTTCAGAAATGTGCAGGCCCAGGGGGAGGATGTGTTAGGAAACAATAGCTTCACATTTTAATATTCTAGTTTAAGAAAACTTTCTGTAGCGATACTTTTGGACTCACCCTCGTTTGTACGATTCCATTATGTTTTGGTTCCAGTTTCCCCCGGCATTTTCGGAACCCCCCCCCCCTGTTTTAGATTAAAACATTGGTGCTGAATTGATTCTGCAGCCCCATGTGTTTCAGAGTAGAATGGTGCTCCATACGGTTTTCCCTGGTTGGCTGAGCTTTTGGAAGTCGACCTCTAGGCCTTTCCCCACAGTACCTTGGGGCAGACTCGAACCTCCAGTCTTTTAGTTAGCAGCCGAGCACATGAACCATTTACGCCACCCAGGGATGCCTCCAGTAGTCCATGCCTGTCGGGAGCATTTTCCCGTCTGTCTGTCTTCAGTCTGTGTTCCTTATTTGGCATGGATGCAACCACAGCTCTGTTAATATGTTGCAGATCTGAACATAAAGTCTGGTCTCCTCTGGTGACCGAGGAAGGAAAGCGTCATCCGTACAAGATGAATTTAGCTTCAGAACCCCAAGTAAGTACTTGGCCCTCCCTGTCCTGCTCTTAGCCCCTACCTGCTCTCCCACTTTGGATGATGTCCTGCACAGCCCCCTTCTTCCTGCCCATGGAGGCCTGGGGTAAAGAGAGCCCAGCGAGTCTGCTGCTGCTGGGATCTGGCTCTTGTTCAGTTCTTCCCGTAAGGGAACTTTGGGAGGAAAGGGCTGGAAAACCCCAGGCTGCGACTGGAAGGGGCCAGTAGGAAGATGATAAGGTGGAAGCCTTCCTGCACGGAATCGGGCTGGCAGGCTCCAGGGATAATGAAGGCACCCTCAGCTCCGAATGGACGTCAGATAGAAGTGAGTCATGCCAGAGACCAAAATAAGTGTGGGCTCCCAGGCCTGGATCCTGGAAGAAAGAAGGAGAAGCTTAATAGTAAACCCTGCTTCTCTTCCCTGCACCCCCCTAGCTGGTTTCCATGAGTTTGCGGATAAAAGTCTGTATTTTTGTTACAAGTGAATGCATGGCTTCTACTGAGCCTTTATTTAGAAATGATGTATTTCCTGGCACACAGTACATATCCAACCAGCAACGTCTACATTTTACATAAATCAATCAATCAATGAAGAATGTAGAAATGAACTAAAATAAAAATTTATGTTACAAAAATGGGGTGGCAATTCAGTGTACAATTTGTGGAGCAGATAAGCTTCCTAAGGAGGTTGATTGTCCAAAGATCCCTAATTTACCGAGCTCACAGAGGTTAGATTATAGATGGTTTCTTTCTTCCTTATTTGCGTTTTCAAAATTACAATGAGTGAGTATTCCATTTGAAATAAGAGAAGAAAAAAAGGTGGCGGGGAGGCTTCTGATGTAGCTTTTGTGGTGAATCTAGATAGAACCAAAAGATAACATACTACCATCCTTTCTACATAAACCAGAAACATGTGTGAAGTGCAGGACATTCGGCATTGGCTTGAAGATGGCAGTGAGTTTGGGCTTTGGGGAGTGAGTAGGACAGGAGAGAGGGAGTGTCCCACAGCGCTTCCAAGGCTGTCATCTCTATGGACGATGGCCACCCCATCCTTCCTCCACGGCTGCGGCGAGTTCCACCTCTGCGTGAGCAGCTGAATTCTTAACCGTGGTGCCACCAAGCTCCTTCTGGATGTATTTGTGTGTGTAAATGGGAGCAGTGTGCTTTAAGTCACGTTTTCTCCAAACAAAGGAAAACATGCATTTGTTTCTGAAATGGCTTCAATTAAAATTTCAGAAATAACATACACAATTTTTCTCATTAATATACTATAAGTCATACTTCAGACTCCTAAGAGTCTCTTCGAGGATCATTTCAAAAGTGGAGATGGACGTATGCTATACAGCTCCTCTCAGAAAAAGTTATGAGATGGTAGTCGACAGACAGGCAGCTTTGTGAACTCATTGTAAACATGCCACAGTGAAGTCAGGGGCTCCCAGCCAGCTCATTCCACTTGCTGCAAACGTTACACTGTAATGTGTTAAGCTTTTGTATATTTTACAGCACACAAGGAAGGCTTGTGTTGTAGCTTGTACTTGAACCTTGGAAATCCTTGCTTACATTAGGTAGACAAGCATTTCATGCTAGCTGTCCATTTCAAGTTGTGCTGTACTTGAATTTTCATCTTAAACATAGAATTACTGTCTTCATATTTTGAAGGTTGATTTCAGATTTAAAAACATACTCAAGTCGAAATTTAAGCTCTAGATGGAGTATCCTTTTCTTTAGTCGTATGTAAAACTACCCACTTCTCATTTTCCCCAAATCTTCCACTTCAGCCACTTTAAAATGAGAGAGGAGGCCTGAGTCTGAGCAAAGTTCATCCACCACAGAAAGATCTGTTTGTTTAAGTAACGCCAACCAACACCCCAGCTTATCTGAGGTCAGTGCAGTTACACACCTAGTGTGCATTTCCTCATTACTTCGTTTCCTTGGAGACAGTGATAAATACCAAGTCCAAACAATGACATCATCCCTTCCAACAGGGCAGGCCCTGAATTAATTCCCCAGTCTTCTGGAAAGACCAGTAGTCCCACGGGTGTTGAGATAACTCCTTTTATGTACAGAACATGCGTTCTTGAGAAATCCTCTACCGAGGGAAAACCCGAATCTCCCATTCTCGCGTTGTCCTGGACTTCCGCTCCAGTGGGCAGTGTGTAGCAACGTTTTGCTTTCTCTTTCCTTGGATTGGCTATGCGTCCCCTCCCGTGGACGTAGGGTTGCAGACAAAGCCAAAGGAATGTAGCCTTAGACCAGCGGTTCTCAACCTGTGGGTCGTGACCCCTTTGAGGATGGAATGACCCTTTCACAGGGGTCGCCACAGTCCATCAGAAAACACATAAATGTTTCACAATATATAATTACATAGTTTTGTGATTAATCACTGCTTTTCATTTGTAACAATGAAAATACATACTGATATTTACATGACATTTACATGATGAGTCATAACAGTAGCAAAATTACAGTTATAAAGTAGGTTGGAGTCCACCCAGAAGCCTCAGAAGAAACGCCTGGTGATCAGAAACCCAGACATTGAAAACCCTATGGAGCGCAGTTCTCTGACACAGAGAGGTCTCCATGAGTTGGCATTGACTTGGTGCCACCTGGTTACTGGTTGCGTTTAGCCTGCCACCCAGAGCATGCTGTACATCTCTGGAAGTTGTGGACTGATCGAGGGATGCTTCTGCATGCTTCTGCAATAATGGCCTGCCGAAGTCAGTCACCAAAGAGCTGTGTTAAACTATATATATACAGTGAATTAAGTAAAGGTTTGATTTTTGAAAAAAGAAACTTTAGCTTCACAAGCTTTTTAATCATTTTATTAGGGGCTCATACAACTCTTATCACAATCCATACACACATCAATTGTGTAAAGCACATTTGTACATTCATTGCCCTCATCCTTC